ATTAAAAATTATTCTTTTCTTAAAATTTATTTTCCCTCTTCTTGCCATCTTCAGTGGAAAAACAGAGAGGATAGGCAGACCAAAATGATCGAAATCAACAACTACAAATAAAAACTAACTTACTCTACAAAACGGTCTGCGGGTTGATAAACCTATAATTTGATCGTTACCGTTTCGGTTTGCTAATCCTCATCTTTTCATCAGTAATAAATCGTTTCGGTTATGCCAATTATCTACCTTACGAAACGGCGAGGAAAGGAAGACACGATAAGAATCAACCAAAAAAAGAAATAAAATATTGATTACCCTACAAAACTGTTTCAACTGATTATGCGATATTACGTTGGTTATTGGTGAAAATCGAAAGATAAAATTATTGAAATATATTGTTAAATTAGCTCTATGGAATGAATTACAACAAATTAGTAGGGTAAATTTTTCAGCCTTTTTGGTTTATCAGACGTGTTTCGGCTTCTCGCTATATTCAGAGCTGTTCTGTTTTCCCCCAGTTTTTTGTACATTTTTGTTCTTTTTTGATGAAAAACATCAACCGTAGCTTTTGATAAACTCGCTTCTTTTAGATTGTATTGGGTTGTCCGGAAAATAATGCAGGATTTTGGTATTAAACAAAAAAAAAGAAACTAGTTACTTTAAAGCAATGTTCTTTAATCAAAATAATTTCCCATACTCTCAATACATTTCTCCCAACGTGTTGGTAACTTATTAATTCCGTCTGAGTAGAATTCAGAATTTTTAGAATTGATAAAGTCAATAAATGCATTTTCCAGTTCCGTTTGATTTTTGAATATTATGTGTTGTAAGTAGTGGTCCAGGTGTCTAAAAAAATGGTAGTCAGTAGGCGAGAGGTCCGGAGAGTAGGGTGGGTGAGGCAAAGTTTCATAGCCAAGCTCCAATAATTTTTGTGACGTTACACGTGACACATGTGGTCGAGCGTTGTCATGCAACAAAATGGGCCCTTTCCGATTGACCAAAGAGGGCTTCATTACTGCCAATTTCTGATGCATGGTATTAATTTGGTTACAGTATGATTCAGCATTGATGGTTTCGCCAGGATTTAAGAAGCTGTAGTGTATTAAACCAAATGAAGCCCACCATACCGTAACCATTACCTTTTTTTGATGAGTTGGGGGCTTTGGAAAATGTATTGGAGCTTCTCCTTTGTCGAGCCACTGTCCAGAATCCACTTTTCGTCACATGTAACAATTCTGGCCAGAAATGGGTCATTTTTGTTTCGACAAAGAAGTGATGCACAAACATCAAAGCGCTGATTTTTTTGGCGATCGTTTAATGAGTGTGGAACCCAATTTTCGAGTTTTTTCACTTTTCCAATCGCCTTGAGGTGGTCAGCGACGGTCGTTTTACTGACTTTGAGTTGCTCTGCAAGTTCTCGAACAGTTGTTTTGGGGTTTTCTTCCACCACTGATCGCAGAACATCATCATTAAGAGAGGAAGGCCTTCCACGACCTTCTTCATCTTCAAGGCTGAAATCTCCCTCCCGAAATTTTTTAAACCACCTTTGCACAGTGCACTCATTAACACAACCCTCGCCCCAGACTTGGTTAATGTTTCTAGCCGTTTGGGCTCCGCTTCGGCCGAGTTTAAACTCGTAAAAGAAAATCGTACGAAATTCTCGCTTTGACATTATAAGGATGACTGAATTATTTCCAAGTAGCGGAATGCTACAGAGGTAAACAAACAATATCATTTGGAAGAGGATTAATAAGTGTTGACATTCATACAAATGAGTAATCCTGTAAACGTAAACAGAATATTTTATATAGATTTTTTTTAATGAAAACTTAAAATCCTGCATTATTTTCCGGACAACCCGATAGCAGCGAGGATAGGTCCAAACAAGATCAACACGCTGATCCTTCCACAATGTTGGTCCGTCAGACGGTTTTATTCTTCTCACCATCTTCAGTGTGTTATTCGTGTTATTTTGTCAGTTACTCTTATTTTATTGGACAAACCCACTACCCAAGATTACGAATATAAACACCTACCTTTTTTGATAAACAAACCAGGGTGGTCGAATATGGCATACGTTCATCAACCTTCCTCCTTCAACTAGGAAACTCATATCATATCTTCTCGTCTATCTTCAAGCTGGAGATGTTTTTCCCCAGTCGTGTTTCTATTTTTTGGGACAAACCAACCACCGTTGCTGTTGATAAACCGAGATAAATATTGTCTGATTTGAATCGAAGCAGCGAGAATAGGTAGACCAGAATGATCGACAAGTCCAAACAAGATCAACAAAGTTGATCTGTCAGACGCGTTCGTTTTTCGGCTTCTCGCCATCTTCAGTGATAGGTCTGTGAGCTATTATATCAGTTGTGCTCTTATTTTATGAGACAGACCCACCATTGATGATAACGATATATTGATATCGCATCTTTTATTCATAACAGCGTGGAAACAGACCAGGATAAATAAGTTGTTCACCATGAACGCGAAAAAATGTATATATATGTACATTTATTCATACAAATAATAAACAAAAGAAATTTAGCATGGAAGAAATCCGTCTGCCGACGATTCAGTTTCATGTCCACCCCTAAGTTTACGAACCGACTGCCTTCTGCACTTCTCTTATTCGAACCATTATTGGGGATTATTCTCGGAGGCTGTAGCATCATGTTTTTCGAAGAGTACTGATCTCTAGTTTTTTGTAGATCATAGTGGCAGCTCAGTGGTCCGATTCGATATGATAAACACGTATAGCAAATCTGGTAAATGTTATAATGTCTGCTTACTCTAAGCATCAGTATATCAACCCACTTACTGTATGGTCAAGTTGGAGCCAACCCACATTCAGTATGATCCGCTCAAACTGAACAAATTGTTCAGCTAGTGAAAAGCCTAGGCACATTTAAAATAGTTGATATTTTATATTCAATATTAAAATACCTAATTTATATCGTGTAAATAGAACGGGAGGAAGGATAACAAAACAGCCAACATGCGACGAAGGAGCACAGTGAAGTTTGAAAAGTTCTTTCCAAATAAAGAAGTAAAGGCTGTTAAACAAGTTCTGAAAATTCGACGAGAAATAAACCCAAATTCCAAATAATCTATGGTAAAGAACCTGATGGGCTATTAAATTAATTTTTTATTTATTCAGATATCGTGAGATGCGGTCGGGTGTGATGTAGGTTTCAGAAAAACACTTTCTTTATCGTGCCAACGTTTCGATCTTTTATTGAGATCATCTTCAGGGCCTGGGATTTACAAACAATGTTTACATATAACAATTACATTTAGGATGTGGAAAAGTGAATTTATACAATGCAAAATATATTTTTTTTTATAATCAATCAAAGTATTTCTACTCACTCTAAGTGTTTGTCTTCTGTGTAATTGTGCCATCCTTGCGTGTCGTGTTGAGAGTGCCAGCGAGATTTTGCTGTTTATATATGTTTGGTTTTGAAGGGGTGGGGAAGGAAGTCGGTATATAAAAGACAATTTTGTGTATGGCGTCGGCTTCTTTGAAGTGAAAAAAGCCGACAAAGGGGAACAATGTGTTGGTAATAGTTCGGCCAGATTATCTTTTCAGGATTATATAGAAAGGGGACAAATTAATTTTTTATGCTTAACTGTAACTCAAATTTGGTCATTACCGACCATTTTGGTCTGTCTATCCTAACAAGGGTTGCCTGTTAGATCCGTTTCCGCATTTCGCCATCTTCATTGTGTCTTTTTTTATTAATTAACGTAAACAACATTTTTCAATTTTAGTTTAATCAAGTTTTTAGGGCTAGCGAAATTGTATTTTTTTAAATGTATTTTTTAACATTCCAGTCTGCTTATTCTTGTTGTTTTGGCACTTCGGCTTCTCGACATCTTCAGAGGTGGGTCTGTTTTATAAATAAAATCCACCGAAGATGGTGAGAAGCCGAAACTCGTCCGACAGGTCAACCCAGTGAGGATAGACTGAATGATGGGAAACGACCTATACAAATAAAATATGCGTAAAAGTGCAAAAACGGTCTGCGAGGTGATGAACGTGAAGGTAATTTGGACGTTACCGATCTCACTGTTTTAGTCAATGATATTAGTCTGATGGATTTTCCCACCGAGGGCGGGAAGCCGAAACAGTATGGTTCAAATATTCACCCTACAAGTTTTAAAAGAGTTGTTAATTAGAATAATTAGAAAACAGCTCGATTTACCAAAATGTCCAGAAACTAAGTTCAACAACCTGCAACAGTTAATAAGAAATTTTACTATTTTGTTGATATTTAATTATACGTATTAAAATTGGAACTAGCTTAATGGCTATAAACAATTTTAAATAAGGGGGGGGGGCTCGGTGGCCGCAACGGTTTAGGAGTTGACACGGCGCTCATCACTGTAAGGAAAAGGTCCCGGGTTCGAATCCAATCGCCCTGCATTCGAACTCGACATACTTACAAATGGGAATTTTTTTCAAAAACACCGGCACCCTGAGGGTTTACATGACCTCTGCTGTTGCGAACCCTCGTAAAAAAAAGATTTTAAATCAACCAGTTAATATAACTAGATCAGGGATGATAAATTGTGTCGAACTGCTCTAAAACCTGATTAACTGCTCCAAAACCTGGTTATGTTTTTGTTATTCAATTATGCATTTAGTCTAGGATTCGAACACTTCGTCACTATGGCTGGATTTGAACACTGTACAGTTACTCAAGCAAGTGCTAGTACATACAGCTTATGAAGCTACATCATTTTACATGTTATACTTAGAGGTGAATTTACAATTTCGAGTTTGTCCGGTCGTGATGCTGCTTTTGACTGAAATTATTTTGATAAAAATGTTTGAATTTCAAAATTGCATGAAGGCTGTCTTTTTGATAAGACAGATGGCTTAAATACATCAGTATTAGTCATATGTGGTCTTTGTATATTTATTTTTTTTCGTTTTTTTATTGTAGTGTTTAGAGTGGGTTATACATTTCTAAACATCAATGAGAACATTCAGACAGGAACAGATGTTATCCGTTGTTTCGAAATGAAATCGCAAATAATAGAATACCGATGAGGAAATGGGGCGAACGGAAGAGGTACCCGTTTGATTGTGTGTCCTTATTGCTTTTAAATTTTTTCGATGGGTTTCTGTCGGGGGTCTTTACAACTTTTTCGTGTAGGTCCAAGAAATCAATGTAGTTGTGAAAACTGGTGAAGGATAAGATCGGGAACCTGTAACACCCTTGGTAAAACCCAAAAATGAATCCCTCGCAGACGAGCGGGGATCCGAATTTTAAGGCAGACTTGTCGAACAAATTGCGGAGACTCAAACATATTTCATCGCTTTCCGTATTTCTTCTTTTCATTTGGTTGCAGTTTGTCTTCGACCAGGGGCTCAACGCGATTATTCTGAAACGACCGTGCATTGGGGCCATGCTGACGCACTGCTTCGGTGAAACTTGAGTCTCCCAACTACGCTGGAATAAGTTCGGGTCTTCGGACACGATGGTCATCGGGCGGACCGCTTTGGTGGATTGAAACGGTTTCACTAGCTTAACCGTGGCTATGTCGTAAGAAGAAAAAGCATCAGCTTTCATTTCGAATCGACTGTGTATCTTGACGTCTTTCATCCGACTCACCTGAGTAAAATTTGCTATTTTCATTTCGTCTGTCAGGCCGACGACCGCTACGGCTTTTTTCATGTCCAGATCTTCCCTGACGAGCGCTGAACTTAAAGTTTCCCTGTACTGACAACACCTGGCCGCTGTGACTATTTTGGACAAGGTTATAAGTGTGCCGACGCAACGGGGTGAGGACTCTTGAAAAACAGTTACGTAAAATGGAAACAGTTGTGAGATTTGGTGCGCATTCGAATTTAAACACGTCGCCATGAATAAAAACAAGCAGAATTTGAAAGACATCATCCTGCATTGAATTCTCTTTTTTTTTGCCTTGAGTCTTTCAAGAAGTACAATTTATATTTCACCAATTAAGCCTGCCTCTGACAGGAAATCAAAGACAGCGTCTAAATATGGGGATTGATCACTCAATAATTTGGATATGTTGTTTGGGAAGAGGTGTGATGTGCGGAGAGGAACATAACTATAAAATTAAATTGAAAAATAAAATTCATATGGTCATAGATTATTTATTTTGGAGCATGGTAACCTATATTATTAAAATTAATAAAAGATAATCAACTGTTGGAATAATAAATGATAAAATAATTTTTCATATTAGTCGAAAAGTTCATGCATAAAACGATAATTCCATGAGTTTCAAGTTTACAGGAAACTCGAATCAAATTTTACAGTTACTCAGACCCTTACCTAAAATTTTTTCCTACGGAATCCCATCTTTATTACCGTTTTAAGAAGATATCGTTAATCTACATCCATAGAGCAACCAGACAGCGCATACATCTTAAAATCAGAAAGGGACGGACCTTCGTATTTTTTATACTGGAACCTTCTTATTACTTTGTGAATGAATTAAAAAATAATTTTATTTACAAAATTTTTATTTGTTTCTCATATTTATTAATGATATCTATCTTGCTCTCCCTTCTGCTCAATTTTTATTATTTGCTGATGATCTGAAAATCTATTCCATAATCACTTCTCCTTCCGATTGCTTACAATTACAAAATTCTATCAATAATTTGCTAACCTGGTGCTCTAATAACAAACTTGCTCTTAATATTTCCAAATGCTACACAATTACATTCTCTCATAAGAAACAACCTTTTATTTATCTCTATACTCTCCATGATGCTCTTTTAACGCGAGTTGAGGTCGTAAAGGATCTTGGTGTACTTTTTGATCAAAAGCTCAAGTTTAAAAGTTGTTTTGTTGTTTTGTCTATCTTTATAAAGCTTTTGTACAACCCATACTAGAATATGATACACCTGTTTGGAACCCATTCTATCTAAATTATCAAAAAATTCTTCAATCTGTACAAAACAAATTTTTAAAAAACTTTCCTACAAACTCACTCTTCCTCCGAATTCTGCCTATCCTGGAATCCGCTCTGAATTTAAACTTTTCGAACTAAGAAGGGATCACTTTGATATTGTTTTTGTATTTAAATTTTTAAACAATCTCATTGATAGTCCTTCTCTCCTCTCTCAACTACAGCTACATGTCCCTTCGCACTCTCTTAAAATCTATAAATTATTTTATATTGAATTCCAAAGCTCTAACTACATGCTCTCTTCTCCTCTACACAGAATGATGATCAAGAGTAACAACATCTGCAATAGCATTGACTTCTTCAATAGTTCTGTGCTATCTGTGAAAAACCATATCGTACAACCTTGGTTGAATGCTTTTATATTTCATACTGTACAAAATTATTACAATTTATTTCATCTACTGGGTCAACTAATTCTCGCACTCTCGTCTTATTATATATTTACAAAGAGCATTATTTTCATTAAATATGTACCTAATTATTGTAGTTTTGTTTTGTTTCCTCTGCCTTATCTGATTAGTAATCATGTCTTTCATTTTTGTTGTTCAGTTTTTTACTCTTTAATTGTATTTTTATATTTATCATTTATATTTACCATTTATATTATTACCATGTATATACATGTCCTTATTCTTTTTATATATATTATTTGTATTTTTACATATATCATTTATATCTTTTGTTATTGTAAAATGTCTTTTTTTATAGTGGATTTCGACCCGTAAATAAATAAATAAATAAATAAATAAAAAGAAAATAAATGTTCATAAGCTAGTATAACTGAAACTAAAAGACAGTTCCAAATACATCGTTGATTAAAACTGTCTGCTGGAGGAGGTCTCCAGGGGAAATTTACTGGCATAGGACATACTTTGTAAATTTTCACAATCAATAATAAAGAAATTAAGTAAACAAAATGAAATCATATCTTCCCAGTGAAAATTAAACGAGTTCTCTGTGGTACTCGAATACCACGGTAACAAAACTCTTGTAGTTCCGGTGTTTCTACAAATAAACCATGTCCTTCCTCTCGGTTTACTAGTTTAAAGTGAGAATCGGTTTCGTTTTATCACGCGTCATGCAAATCAAACCTGGTGTTTCGCAAGGACTTATCTTAGGACCAATCCTCTTCACAATCTAACGTGGTCTATCATGGATGCACCGCGATCCAACTGGACTTCAAGTTAAACGAGTTAAAAATCCAACACGTGACATGTAAACTCATACGTCAGATCTGCCCACCAGAGCACATAAACAAAAAAGTAATCACTCGATGGAACCAGACATGGAAAGCACTTACAAGGACTCAACAAAAGATACGGACAACTCTGAAATCTACTCGGACTTAAATTAAACTTTAAGCATACATCGAAGGAATCATATATTTTAAAATCAAAGTCCTCCTTCCACGTCAACAGTCTAGAGATTCACAAAGACCTAAATATAACATTCGTTTAGGATCTGATCAAAATACGTTTCCAAAATTTTAATCTAAGCTAATCCTCCATCCTAAGAAGCTGGAGTTCTTTTCTAAACGCATCTTATAACTCCAGATGGTCTTGAGGCCTACTTTTTTGACTCTATCCTAATTCAGACTAAATAAAATAGACCACCAGTAATTACTGCCGGCTGACTTCTCTTCCATGATGAGATCTGTCAGATTTTTATGTATGTAATGTACGAATTGCTCAGTTAATATTTTTCGTACAAACAACAATAAATAAATAATTTAAAAATAAATATACCAATAAACTAAACAAAACCTTTATTTAGCAGATGATTTCGGTTCACTCTTTCATTTTTAAATTTCATTATGTTTCAAATAAGTCGACAAAGCGTCACCAGCAGGGTACAGAAGAGGAGTGAATGCGAGCTGAAGAAATGACCAACGTGTGATGGTTGCGAAGAGTTTTTTTTCATCGATTTGCCATCCGTCCCAACATTTTCCGCTTCGTGTAAATCCATGAATTCTATGTGATTTTGCAGAGAGCTGAAAGAATAGAATGGATTCGAATACAATTGTTGGAATATACCGAAGACGTATCCGTTGCAGATCAGTGGCGCTCCGACGAGGATGTCGTATGTTTTTGGATCTGTACTGCTCGTGCAAATTTCATCTTCGCCGACTCCCTTAAAACCAGCGCAAATATCCTTGGGGGCGTGTAGCATCTTTATTGTTTCGTACGAGCGCCTTTCCTTCATTTCAATGGTGAAGCAGAAGCAATTCTCCGGGAAAACCCATTTTTTATCCGGCTCTTCCGTCACGATTTTCATCGGGCCGACGTTTTCGGCCGACGTGAACGGTTTGACGAGGTTCGCCGTGGCGATGTCGTTGGCGACATACGATTCGAATCGCATACTAAATTTACTGTGGATTTTTACACTTTTCAATGTACGCCTCTGTGTGAATTTTCCAGGGGATAAATCGTCAGACAGGCCCACAACCGCTTCCGTATACGACAAATCGAGATCTTTTCTTGCAGTGAAATTCGAACTGAACGTGTACTGAAAACATCTTGCGAGAGTGACTATTTTAAACATGCTGATAAGAACGGCACTGCATTGAGGACTATACCCATAAAATATGGTGACGTAGTAAGGAAACGATATTGTTTCTGCGTACGTCTGAATAACCTGTTTGGTTCCTTCAGTCGTAACCGTAAACACGAAAGTGCAGAAGACTAAAAACTTGAACATTTCTATTCTAAATAAACAACTTAACAAATCTATTATTGTTTTTACAAAACGAGTTGTATTGCGACAAAATTTAATCAAGTATCAATCATGTGGTTAATACCACATGTACAAACAAAACTTCGTTAACAACTCGGAGACTAGTCAAAATTTCAAGTAGTTCACTGCACGTTTTGGTTTTATTTGTTTGAACATCTACGAAATGTTCAAAACTTAATAATTAAAATTTTTTGAGTTTTTTGTGGAAAAGGACCTTTACTTTGGTAATTTCGGACAGCTTTTCTTTAGCTGGTTTCATTTGCCAGAATATTTTTGACTTAACGTCATATTCAGTGATGGGTCTGTGACATATAAATAAGGCAACCACTCGAGAAAGTGCACCGACCAGTTCTCACTTGGAGCCCCACAACCCCCAGCATCGACGATGGTGAAATGCAAAACCACTTCAAACAAATCAAAATAGAGGTGGACCAAAAAGAACCAAAACAAATCAATTGGTTGGATCTTCAGCCCCAGCTGAACCTGAGCCTCCTCAAGATTCAAAAGCCACAGTTTCTATTTTCTGCTTTTCCTCTCTATACTTGCTAAGACCCTCCTCCTTGACATCCATCTACCTCAACTTCGATCTTTCTTTCAGTCTAAACAGTCATATTCTTTTTCGGTTGTCTTGTATCTGACATCTTTTAAATTATTAGAGTATAGACTTAACGGTTGGCACTACAGCCCCAGTTGGGCCTCAGCTTGCCCAAGAATCAAAACACTATCAAAAGTCACTATCGTCTGTTTTCCGCTTTTTGTCCTCTGTCCTAGTCACACAAGCTAGCTTATCACAGTTATCACAAAAAGCCTTCAATCCCCGACGCTCAGACGTATGAAGCGCCTACGGGAAGCTGTTAGTGGCTGTCCGACTGGATCGAAGTCACGATAGTTCAAGTGGAAGAGCAGGGGAAGCACCATTTAGCCGAAGGTCGTGGGTTCGAATCCCGCTCGTGACACTAGCTTTTTCATTTCAACCAAAACCTTAAATAAAAAGATTAATTAATTGAAAAAAGGAATTTGGTCAATAGACCACGAAACATGAAGGATTTAATAAGTAAAACGATGTGTAACTTCACTAACAGCTCCCCGTGGCCACTTCATATGTCGCCGAGAATCAAATCCTGATTTCACGACATTTGAAAAACGGCAAAAAGGAGGGAAAATTTGAAAGGTTGGGTTGAGATGGGAACTTGGTGTCCGAGTGGATCGAAGTCACGATAGCTCAAGTGGTAGAGGAGCGGCGTATTTAGCCGAAGATCGTGGATTCGAATCCCGCTCGTGCCATTTACTTTTTTATCTCAACTAAAAGCCTTAATTAATTGTAATATATACATTGGTCAAGCCGACCACGAAATTAGTGAATTTAATGATTTAAAATGAAGTATACTTCACTAAAGCTCTCCGTGGCCATTTCATTTGTCGTCGAGAATACAATTCGATTACACGACATTTTAAAAATGGCAAAAAGGAGGCAAAATTCAAAAGGTGGCGTTGAGATGGGAAGTTACCAGTCCGAGTGGATCGAGGTCACGATAGCTCGATAGTGGTAGAGCAGCGGCGTATCAAGCCGAAGATCGTGGGTTCGAATCCAGCTTGTGCCATTGACTTTTTATCTGAACTAAAAAGCCTTAATTAATTTTTATCAATGTTATTTTCTAATCCATTTATGTTTAGTGGTATAATGACCAAATTACTTATTTCAATTAATTTAACATTTTATGTAACGTCTTGGTTGAGATGAAAGCCGAAGGATGTGGGTTCGAATCTCGCTCGTGACAATAACTTTTTCATCTTAACCAAGTCCTTACATAAAAAGAATAATTTATTGAAATAAGTTATTTTCTAAATTTCAACTTTTATTAATTATTATGGTTTAGTGAAGACTTTCAAATTTATGTTTTAGATGAACTGGTGAGGAGGGGGCTGAAAAATAAGCGATGCCAGTTATTCTTTCGGGAGTGGCGAGTCAATAAGATTGTGATACAAGTGGGAAAAACAAGTCAAGCAGGCTGGAGGAACTGATGTGCGAGGCCGGAATGAGAGGGAAGCAAGTGGTGGAGCCGGAGGAGGAGGACGAGGAAGCCGACGAGGAAGAATACTTGATGAAAGGGCGAATGGAAGAGATGACCGCCCCCTCTGGCGGACCGCCGGCCGCGGCCGCCCCCGGCTCCCAGGGCTTTTGGATGACGGCCGTTTCCGCCGCCTCCGGCATGGACATGATACCAGAATCGGGTTTCATATCCTCCCAACCCTCCATGGCCGAGTTCATCCTGCCCCACCACATGGCCGAGATGTCGCCCAGTCCCGGAGCGCCCCAGCCGACTTACCCGCAGCAGCCGATCGACCAGCAGCAACCCGTCCAAGAATATCCGTGGATGAAGGAGAAGAAGACAGCACGGAAAAGCAACCAGCAAGGTGAGTGATTTTTACTAAAAAGCATCAACTCTTTTTTTTTTCTTAAAAAGTTATATAAAGATACTCTGTACACACAAACTTAGGTGCAATTTGGTGATCCTGGTCTGCCAATTGTCAAATTTTATACCCACAAATGTCTGTCGTCTGGTATTTTAGCTTATTTTTTATTCCTTAATTCCTGGAATAATTAAGGATTATTTATGATTATGCCTGATATTATTAGTCTGCTAGTTTGATATCCTAATAAAATTAATTATTTTTTTCTCAATGGACGGAATTTTCAAAGAGCTAGAATAGGCGGACCATTATGGCATCACAACGGTCGAAAATTAATCAAATCCTTTCTAGGTTGACGTTCATGCAACTTGAGAGTTGCCAAATTTTTTATGGTTTAGTGCACTATCATTAAACTTTCATATCAGCTTGACGCCTCCTCCAACAAGCTAATCATTAATAGTTTTATTAATAAATAATCTTGCCGTGTCGTGTCGCTATGGCATTAATAATGTGGTGCCGAGAGGTTAGGGCGTTTTTATGAATCACTAGCGGTTTTTGGGTCGAATCGGAGCATAACCTGTGAAATTTTATTTGAGAATGTTGTGACACATGATTTTTAACACTTTTTTATGACAGGAATTACTTAATATTTTTTTTTAATATTCTAGAATTTACTTGTTGAACATTATAGACCATAATCAAATGGTTCAAATGTGAAGTTTCTTCATAGGTTATGTTGGGCGTTAGGCGGTTTTGTTGGGATTTTATTAGTCTAGGTTGTCTTATACGTGTTATTTTTATGAAATACCATCATAAAACGTCCATAAGACAGACGGTAGCACTGCTATAAATTTAAGCGCGTTTAACTGTTTAAACAATATGACCACAGACCAGGGCGTAAATCTTCAAAAGAGGGTGAAAGGAAACCCCTGATAATTTCGGTACAGGGGAAAAAGAAAAGGCACTTTTGGCAATACATCAGTGCCATTTAAAATAAGGGACTTCAGGTGTGACTTATGCCTTATGCCCACTAGTCTCTGTTTACCTGGATGCCGGCCGAGTGTCAGTGAACTTCCCGTCTGGACTTTTAGCCGGTTTTTGCGCAATTTCAGCCCCCGTACCTGCACCGGTTCGGCAAGCTCATTTGTCAAAAGTCCGCCTTAGCGTGGAAATAAAAGAATCGCCCCGACCTGGGTTTTTCGGTGGGGGGAAAACAGACCCAAAGAAATAAGGGCAGTTGTTATTAAAATCGCATCAAGACACGCCTCGGATCTTTCTTTCCCGATCTTCCAAATTGGTCCATTTCAGTTTATTACAGCGAACGCTGGACACCTCGGGAAAAAATCGACCTACAATTCTGAAGCAATTTTACAAGTTGATGCACTATTCTCATTAATAACAGAAATTCAAAACCACCACAGGTCTGAATTATTGCAATTATGAAGAAAATGAATAAACCATAAATATTGATTTGGTAGAAATAGTGTGCCTTTGTTTTATACATGCAATACAATATTGGGTAAATTCAATCCTAATTAATTAATGAAGTTCATTCTTTTTCTATGGTGGTATTGTTTCTTTCACGACATTGTTGTACCACCACCAATTTATTAGAAAATTATTTGGTATTTGCTTCCTTTCAGTAGAAACTACATATACTGTATAGTAGTATATGGCCCAACAGAAATGGGAAGAAATCATAAATCTTGATTGATATTGAGATTGATAACGGGTTTCTTGACACTCCACCCAGAGAAAATGAGTAGTTATTAATGAATATACAGGGTGTTCGTTGAACAGACGTCAATAATACAGGAGATTATCTTATTTCTCAAAATGAAATAAAATTCCTCTTGTCTAAAGGCTGATTCTCAATTATGTTAGAGACTAGTGGCTAGTTGGGACAATACCCCATTCTGTGGTCAGAATCAGGGAACGGTATGATTTATGAAGTGGAAAAACGCATTACGAACAGGAAGGACGTTTTGGTTTCTCATGCAGTTATTTTACATTTTACATTTTAGAGTACTAACCTCAGGGATAGTCAGTGGGTAGAACATCACCAAAAATAAAAATTAATTTTGGACCGCTTTGACGATGTGTCCATGACCTGGCAGTCTTGCATTGTTTCCGTTACAGTCCTGTATGTCTCAACGTAAGGGTTTTCAGTCAAAATGCCGCCAAGGGCTGTCAAAAATGCGCGGTTTATTTTATTTTATTTATTTTTTATTCTGGGGGTCATGATCGCACATCCACAGCTTTGGAGGAGTGTATAAAATATAATTGAGTGTATGACGCAATAATCAGATATGAATAAGTGAATCTCTCAATGCATTTTAAAACAGTAAGCTCGAACTCCTGGAATTCCTTGTGCCAGAAAAAGAGGTAAATACCTTTGCGCTGTTGTAATTCCGTATATTGTTCATAAAATTTGGACACTTAAGGAATAGTTCCTTTAACTCCCAGCTGATTTGTGATTCTGCGAGTAAAATAATGCCATTATGACAGTTACAGTACAGTGCACTTACAGTTACAGTGTTTTTAGTAAAAGTACTATAAAAAACAGTAAAACAATAAAGAAATATAATACAACTGCGAAGAGACGCGACTAATCAAGTTTGAATTCTGGCGCCGGCCCCCACCATACTCCAACCCATCATATTTTAAGTATTTATTTTTTCTCCTCACGATTAATAATTTATACTTTTGGTAATTTTCCGAATAAATTTGCGGTCTGGGCTTTCGTTTAAGCCATCAGGACCAAAAATCCGTAGAGCGGTTCGGCCGTGATTTTGATCGGCGTTTCGAGTATTGTATACATTACCAGATTGTATATTGCCCATCAAAATAAACCGACCACCTTGTTTTTGCACAAAAAAATAGCCAAATATGGAAAGGCACATTTTCTCAGCGTTTTAAGTCACAGGCCTGCGCTAGGTCTCATTTTTTAGGAAATGTTTTTCTAGCTTCAGTCATTCATCAGTAAATTCAAAAATTCAGGAACACCGATTCTTTGCACTTTTTAAGAAAACTTCAACTTTAGCTGTGGACCAGGAATTCGTCCTGGAGCGACGCTCTTTAGCATTCGATGGGAAATTTTAATAAGCTTTCAATTGGTCACTTCCACTTTGCCCCATGTAGCAACCAACCTTTGTCGAGTTATTTGCGATTTTTGGGCAATAAACGTGGTTTTTTACGTGCTCTTGGAAAAAAAAAAACCAATCACCCTTTCTCCCGATTTTACATAAATCTATTTATGTCTATTTGTTTCAAAACTTTGCAAGGCAAAATGCTAAAGTAAGAATTGTCTCTTCACTGATCACTTTTCTGAAAAAGTCCTCGGTACTGAAGTACTAAAGTGTAAAATTTGCGAAAACATGATGGTTCAAAATTTATGCATTCTTGAAAATCGGGGGAGAAATTTGATCAGTGTTTTCCCTGAACCCGTAGAGATTTCTAAAGGGTGTCACTCCATGACGATTTCCTGGCTCCACAACTCAATTTGAAGTTTTTGTAAAATGTGCAAAAATTGATATGTTCCAGAATTTTTGAATTTACCGACGAATGGCTGACGCTAGGAAAACATTTAAAAAACACGTCTTGTTCAGCTTAAAATTTTCTAAAAAATGAGTCCTAGCACAGGTCTGTAACTTAAAACTTTTATGGCCAGTGTATAAAGCGAATTCATTTTTGAGCTTTCAAATTTTCACAACTTTAATCTAACAAAATGTTAATTCTACAATTAATTTAATTACACTAGTGGAAAGTGCAATGAGGACCGTATAAGATTCATCGGTTGTTTTACTGTGACCGTAGCAAGCAAAACTACCTAGAAGGTAAACTTTTATAAGTTTCAAAAGTTCTTCTCTAAAGTTTAAGAAAGATTTTTTGTTCCACAAGTAAGGACATATGGCGCAGTTATAAACACACATACTTACTTTCTCAATGGTCAGTTATCACATATGACCAATGTAAAATTAATCTGTTAAGTTAATCTGTTAAAACGGTTCGGTTATAAACGGCTCAAAAAATTAGTCTTTGAGATTTTGAAACTTGTAGAAAACAACGAATGTGATACAAAGTAAACAATAACAACTCTTTCGTACAAAATTGGACATAAGAAAAAAACAAAAAAACTTCATAAAATTAAATTAAATATTGAAAATGTCCAATTTTTGGCTTTCATTCTCAAATAGAGTGGACCTATTAAACATTTAATGGGAATTTTAAAACATTTTGTCTTATATTCAATTATGTACCAAACTGTCGGTTTTGTTTTTCTTTCATTATTTTTAATAGAAATTTCAAAATCGAAATGGTTAATTTTTTAAACCATTTATAAACGAAAAATCAGATTTTTAGGGATCACACGTTAATTTAGCAATGGTGATAATTGACCTTTAAAAAATGAAATACATGTTTTCAACTTTTGTCTCTTTGTAGAAAGCATAGTTCCAAAAGTGTGTAGTGTTTAGTGACCTTAAAGATTATTTGGAGATCGTGAGATCGGGCTGGTGTGACGTAGGTTTTAGAAAAATATTTTCTTTATCGTGCCAACGTTTCGATCTTTATTGAGATCATCTTCAGGGCTCAAAGTGTTTGTTTTCCCAAGGGCATTCTCATCACGACACACAAGAATGACACATCTACGAAGAAACACTTTGAGCCCTGAAGATGTTCTAGATAAAGATCCAAACATTGGTACGATAAAGAAAATGTTTTTCTAAAACCTACGTAACACCAGACCGCATCTCACCATCTCCAAATAATCATAGTTCCAAAAGATGAATTGATATATTCATCCCACCTCAGATAATTTTCAAAAGTAAACTGACGTGTTTAATGCTCATTATTAGAGGCAAATTTTCTTTAAGCGCTATAACTGTCAGTATTTACAGAACTGATTTGGACTAACGGACTGGAGGTGTTAGGTTCTGCCATTCCAAAGTCCGCCGCACCCATCTGCCCAATCCATAATTCTAAGAAAAATCCTTGATGTTTCA